AGACACACTGACCCTCCAGGACTGGGACCGGACAGCCCTGCTACAGACACACAGGCCCTCCAGGACCGGGACTGGACAGTCCCATTGTCTGTCTCCGCCCTAACATGTCCACAGTCGCTGGTCTCTTTCCAAACTACCCTGCTTTGACTGGAGCTGGGCAGATGCCTGGCACCGGTGTGACCCTGCGAAACAGCCCGACTCTTAGGAGCCTGACCACTAACAGGGTTATCCATGCCATCCAGCTATGGCAGTCGGACAGCACCCCCTAGTGGTGGGGGCAGCTTGAATCAGACCTGATAGCTTCCAGTCCATAGCCTGAAGCCAGCTGTCTCACCTACAGGCGAGGGCTGACAAGCCCATTGGAGTATGTTTAATATGCCTTTCACGCGTGTCAACCGATACGCAATAACACACGTTCACGCCGTCCCAAAGGAGGCTGTCACCAGAAGAGCCGACGGTCAACTCAATGTGGGCAAAGACCTTGGATTCCCAAAGGAACGGCAATGACCTCGAGGCAATGAGGTCAATCAAGAAGCAACTCAACCTTCCAACAACCCTGAACCGTCACTGTACTCGCAGCGATAAGGCGGAGAAGCCTGTCCAATCACAACACTACTTCGCAAGCCGTTAGAGATCCCTCATGTACATTTCAACACAGGCCTCCAACAGACAGTGCTGGAATAAGTGCACGCTTACGATTTCACCCTAAAGCAACTTCTCAAATCTATTTCCGGGGTTTCCTGTAAAAGTTTTGAAAAGATTCTTGAGTTTCATAGAAACCACTAAAAGCAGGAACTGTTTGCAGCTGCCTGGTATTAAGAACATGACACATCAAGCTGTATGTCACATTATTTTAAACACTCTCTCATGCACTCTATTCCAATATTGCCAATTTTGCAAACGAACGTTTTTTTATACAAAGCAGCAGACTCTGTGTCCAGTTGTACAGCCAGGGCATTTTACTGGAGCAGTCCAAGTTAATGACCTCACTCAAAGGTACAACAACGGTCTCAGACCTGGTATTGTACTTGAACCCACAACCTTCCAGTTCGGTAGCAGTATTTCTTAAGGAGCAGCTGCATTCTCAGGCAGTCTCAGACTGCTAAACATACTCCGACACGCTAGTGGTATTATGTTTTAATAATATCAAGGTGTTGTTTTACAGTATGCATGCATTATTCAGTAGGCACTGTTGTATTTTATTTATATGTGGCTGACACTTTTACCCAAAACAACTAATATACACAAATTCCTCTAGGAGAGAATTCCTCTAAGGGAGAACCTTATTGCAGCAATAGGCACAGAGACACTTGGGATTTGAACCCACAACCTAGATCCCCAGCGCCCTACCTCGACTCCACACCGTTCCCCACTAGACGCTTGGGAAGGCGGTACTGGAAAGTAAAACAGGCTTTCAGCACTATTTCAAAACAGCGCTACTTACAACAGAGTGCGAAGAACCAAAAAAAAAAAAACAGTTCCCGTGCTCGCTGCCTTCTAGTCATTGAAAAAAAGATCCAGCCTTCGAGTTAAAGACGGAGTGCTGCCCCACCCGACCCACGGAGAGACTCGTCAGGCAGCACGGTCTCTCCCGCAGGCGCATCTCCGAGCAATCACTTTCCACAGAGCTGCACGGCTCTCAGGGAGCGGGGATGAAGGGGGTAGCTGTAGCCTCTTTAAAGGCTTCCAGCCCCGGGCATCCCCTCACCGCTATCACACGGATGCCCTTGGGCGTCGTGAAGAGCCCGAACACGTATTTACACGGGCAGCGTGTCTCTGGAACAGGAGAGAAAAGAACTACGAGGAAGAATTCGCCCCCCTGCGTTATAAAAACAGCCACCCCTTATTTGTGCACAAAATCAGGTCCCGTAATTCCCTGCTGGTTAGATTAAAGAGTTAAGTCGCCGAATAACAAGCGAAGAGTGCGTGTTGTTTTAAAGAATAGACTCATTATTCACACGTATAGAGGAATGCCTTTTCAGCGGGGTGATTTCCTGAAAAGTAATACACCACCCAAACGACGGAAGCATAACTTAAATCATTATCGTATTTCTGAGAGTTCCACGTTGTCAAAAAAAAGTAAAGAAAAAGTTTTTTTTTAAAAAAAAAACAAAGTCTGAAGCAAGGGACTAGTCTGCGCCGAGCACTACCGTCACTGCTCTAAAGTTTTCGCTGTCTGTCGATGGAAAGAAAAAAACCTTTTCAAGTTCTTTCCTGACATTATGCATCAAATACATCATAAAACACCCCCCTCGCCCTTCCCACGTACAGATTAAGTGAAGTCTCCGGGCTGTTACACAGTTACAGCGAGTTCACCTCCTGCGCCGCGACTCCGAGTCAAACTACAGCTCCGCGTTTCTCAACTACCCGCAAACAGCGACTGTCAGGGGGAAAGCGTGGCATTCTTCCTTTACCTTAAAACTGCGATTTCCCCTGCCAAAGCAACGCGGTTTCGAGACCGTAGCTTCTCTCTCCTGCGGCGTTTCCTGCTTTTTCCCTTTTCTGGTCAGCTCCTGTCACGGCCCGAGACTGGGAGCGGCGCGCCTCTCTGACGTCACAACCCCGCACCCAGAAGTTTTCTGCAGAGGGAACTTTTTCTGCCGGCGTGACGTCACCTCGGGCCCCGACTGGACACACGTGGAGGCTCGTCTGGGGGCAGCGCCGCGCTGCAAGGTCTCCTCAATGTCAGGCGAAGGAAGGAGCTGCAGTCGCAGGCCGGGAAAAACCTGTGCCTTCACACCGTTTTCCGTGCCCGTGGTCTAGCTGTAACGGTACGCTATCATTTCCAGGAAGCCCTATGATCTTGTCTTATTTCCTGCCCGAATCGCTAGGAAAAGTCCATAAAAAGGCGCAGAAGATTTTGGATGACTGCGGGGGTAACAGCAACTTTTAACTGGAGAAGGGTTGTTTCGGTCTGTCTGGGTAAATCTTAAAAAACGATCGTCTTCCGTAGAGCTCACCCCGCGACACGCAGGCTGAAAAACTTTCCTGTGCGCCCTACCCACCCATTCTCATTGCCAGACTCGGTAACTCGACGTTTCAATTCGAACCAATACTTACAAAGGAGAATTGAAAGTACAATCACGCCGGCATTTCCCATTTCCCCCCGACTTTTTAACTTCCGCATATCGGTTGCGGTGGTTGGGTTTCGTTTACTGTATAGAACAGGTTGAGATCCCCGCACACGGGCATTCCCCAAGACTGGGACGTTTTAAAATTAAAACCATCCCGGACAGCAGATAGAAGAAGCGTACTATTTTAGGGATGACCCTGACAACTCAGAATTAGATCTCTGAGCTAGCTAAGGGATTTCTGGACTAGCTCAGATTACATTTCAGAGATACCAGGACTTTATATTCATACAGACGAACGAGTACAAATTGAAGCACAGCACGTCTTAATAAGAGACACATAGACCACATCATGTATGCGGGTTTTTTTTTTTCATTTTACTCTGATTTAATCGTATGAAAGGGAAAACAAAATCACTATTACAGGAATTCTTCAGCGAATACTGTACACCCTAATAATGAATTAGAGCAATGCTGTGTCGTATCACTGTAAAATTAAGCCAGCCAACAGAAATAACACTGTTATCTCCTCACCTGTTTTTTTCCCCACACAATACAAAAGGTGACCATTTCGGTCCTAGAATAACGTTATTGTTCAACAGTTTATTAATAAAAATAAGTTAAGACAAAGAAAGCACCAGAAGTAGAAAAGTATTAAAGGTTTTGCATATTGCATATCAGACAACCATACATATTCAGATATTCAGTATTACACAGGAAATAAGTTCACAGGCCCGCGGACGTCTGGACAGCAGGGCTCATGTATGGTTCCCATAGTGCACGTTGGGTTCAGTGGGGGTGGGGGTGACTCTGTCAACAATGCTCTCTTTGAATAATGCCCTAAATTCACAGACCAGATTCATGAGTTCTACTGACCACCATGGGGACCCCAATGACACCCCGATAACCTGCTAATGCATTTTAAGAACAAATGCTGGATGTTTGTAAAGCCGGCGGGTCACAAGTTAAACGAAAACATGGGGGGGGGAACGTTAAAGGAAGATCGTCTTCAAACACACGGCCGCAGGATTATGCCACCGGTCCGTTATTATGGAACAGAGCTGCGTTACATACAGTATGCGATCTGGAGAGGCCTTAGAGAACCCTGCAACCTCATTCCGAGTCGAAAGAAAACGCAAGGTTTCGGCTGTGGTGTCTTCTTCAGGTGTGAAGGCTCCACAGCCACAACTTTGCGTTTTCTTCTCTTCTCAGCAGGGAAGAAACCTATTACTTGGTCCTCTGGAGCCTATGCATGCCGACGCAGCTCCCCGCCTGGACTCATTCCGAGTCTACGCTTCAGAGAGCGTGGGCTTCAGTCAGGAGCTACTTCCTTCATGTACAGTAGTCGTGTGTGCACTCACGGCTCTTCCCCCACACGGTCTCCACCACTAAATAAAAGCTCCCCTTTTCGTGGAAATGTAGCACTTCTCCTGCCTTTGCTTAGAGCTCTTTCAATGGGATACGATGCCCAGACTCCTGCGCGCTGTACAGAATGCCACAAGCCAGAAGTGGCAGAAAGTCACTGTGCTTCCAGTCCTCTAGGAGCACAAGGCTCTCGCCATCATTCCTGTAACAGACTGGCACAGCCTTGGCTTGGCTCTTAAAATAACCCTCTTCCTTTTGGAGAGATAAAACTCCTAAACAAACCCATTTCGGTACAATAGCAAAGGCCAAGGCCTTGAAAACAAAGAAAACAAAAATGAGGAACTGACTAACGGCGCACTGAGACAAAATTAGTTCATGCATCAGCGTCCACCAAAATCTATCATGGTGCACCCTAGCCTTTTAAATCTGCTTTAATTTTTTTCTGCCTTTCCAATAGTCTGAATTTATGTTACCCTTAATGTCAAACACAGTCCTGTATTGTCCAAGTAATACACATTGCTGCCACATTGTTCAAGCTGAACTATACACCTGTCTTTTAGTAACAGTTGAACCTGTGATAGAGCGACTTCTCAATACATCAGACGTAAGTACTGAACAGAAAAATAACTTTGTTATTATTTTCAAAACAATAACATTTTGCCATCTGTGCAAACATATATAAATGGGTAGGAAAAATGGTGTTCATTAGTGTTTCAGTTCCACATACTTAAAAATGCAGCTGCAGTTAACCCAGAGTACAGTATGTGATGCAGAAAGTAATTGGTCTGGACTCATGCTCTTCATGCACTAATAACTAACTGCCCTGTCAGACTGAGGTCATCTCTGCCTTTTCAGTGTGGCAGAAACAAGTGAATAAGTGAACCCAAAACAGTTTGTTATTATAGAGAAAGCCACGTAAACACGGCCCTCTTTGGAAGTTACTGCGATCTGCATTTCCTCCTCTTCATCCCAGAAGAAGCGGCAGGCGGGCAGGCGGGCGCCTTGTTTCCCAGATGCGATCTGTCACTTCCACGTGGCAGGCCCTGGCCTCATGCTGCTTGCCCTGCCGCCTTTGGATCCCAGAGACTGTCCAGACCGGCTCCTGAGGTCGCGGTCTGCGTTCTCGCTCTGTGCCAGCTCCTCGTCATACCTGACACGCAGATTGCAGTCATTAGAGCACGAGAAAGGGTAGCAGAGTTTCAGGCTTCGATAGCTGAACATCTCGGATTATCAAAGATAAATTCCAAAAATGCCTAAATAAAGGTAATTTAGCAATGTCAACATTTAAACTTTTTTTTTTATCATTCTAAAAAAAACAGGTAAAGTGCCACTCTTACTTAGCAACACTGAAATATTTGCTCTTCCAACAGATTGAAAAGCAATTACGAGCATTGCATTTCCTGAGGCACTCCTCGCTTAATTCTTTTGAAGTTTAAATGTTTAAACTTTTAAAGTTTCACTCTTGGGATTAGAGCATGAGGCATTAATGAGTGTCCACTGATCTGGACAAGGCCTCTCTTCCCAGACCTGTAGAAGCCTTGACCTTTTCTGTGGTGAGAAAACTATGGTGAACCGGCTTAGAGGTCATAAAGGCATTCAGGTCTGGTTTAAAACACACTTTCAACCCTGCAATGGCAAATTCCAGACCTCATGCAACATGCCTGCTTTCCATGTGGGCACATGTTAGGAGCCAGTAGCAAACAGAAAGAAGCCATTAAGCAGTGTGTTGAGAGGCTCAAAGTGTTGATTTAATCGAGTCGCAGCCGGAGACCAGAAGCACATGGCTACAAAGGGCTTTCACCCACCACTGCCTCGCGTCTCAGTCTGCCTCCTACACATGATGATAGCCAAAACATTCTGACCAACACTTACAACAGTTCATAGTTTCCAAGAGCTTCCTTCTGCGGACTGCGATTCCACCTGCAGTCTGGGATTTCTCCATTCGGGGTGACGATGTTGAGCGTGTCGTTCATCAGGTTGTACTTCAGGATCCGGTCGTTGGCTGTGCTTGATGTCAGCGAGGGGGAAGCGTTGACCTGCGTTGAGAAAAAGGGCTCTGTCAGACAGAAGAACAGAAGAACCCTGAAGTCCCAGAATGCATCTGCTGCAGCTGTTCTTCTCTGGACAGACTCCAGAGCAGCAATATCTTCTTTATAACGTGGCAACCAAGATAGTACATGATATTTTAAATGAGGCCTTACTAGCGCATTTATTTTATTAAAAAATCCCAAAAAGGCTTTATACTGTACAGTACGTGGTACAAGAGAAGGACTCTCTTCATCCTCCACCAATATGCAGCACCCACCTGCACCAACAGCCCCACACCACAACACAACAGATGAGGTGAAGGAGTGAGAAACTGCTTCACCAATTGAATTAATCTGGGACATAAGTGAGGCCCTATTGTGAAAGTGCAGAGTGGAATTTAGTAAGGAATACACGGTTAACACCCATACTCCTACTGACAGTGCCATGGGATCTTTTTTTTTAAATTACCAAGTAGGACATAAGTTTAAAATGATACTGAAGGTTGACACCAATAGCAGCATGAATGGCAAATACAGAAGGGACAGCGCCACCAACTGGTCCACCAGCACTAGCAATAGCAGCAGCTTAGGTTTTCCTTAATACTGACCTGGCGCAGCTTTGCTAAACTTCTGAGATCTGAATGAAACGGGCTACAGGGTGACAGGATTTAAATTAAGGGATGTGATGTTAAAATTGACTGAACTCAGCCCAGGGGAAGGAGACCAGGCTTACTGACATTTACCCAGGCATGTTCTTGAAGCCAACACTCAAGATTATTTAAAGAAACAGCTGAATGAAATCCTTGGATCAATTAACTTCTCGCTACTTAAATGGGCTAGATGGGCTGACTGTCACCTTTCCTGTGTTTTCATTCCTGTGCCCAAATATCTTCAACTAACAGGCTGAAAGAGCTGAATCTTTTAAGTGCAGAACACAGAAGAGTAACGGGGGACCTGATTCCAGTATCCAGAATCCTCAAAGGCACTGACAACCCAGCGGACCTCTTCTGCATCAGACGGGTGACATTTAGAGGGAAGTGCACTTTAAACTAAGCAGAAGGGCCTCCTCTTGTTCCTCCACACAAGAGCTTTCCTGCCGACCATCCAGCCTGAGCTCTGCAGTCACTTCCAGTGCCAGCTCTCCCCAGGCACCATGGCAGCCAGCACTATTTTTCCCCATAAGACTAGTGATTAATGTCTCCGTTTAATCAGATGCCTCCAGCTCTGCATTCATCAGCTCTTTGTCAAACAAGATATTGTTCAGACCTCCTGTCTTTGAGCAAACACACCCCAGCCGCGAAGAGAGTCCTAATAATGAAGCTGGATCCCAAACACAATACCGGAGGGAAGCAGCCTCTTTGTCCAGGGTAGCTTTTAGTTGTAATTTGAAAAGGACCTAAAATACATTGACACGTCCTTGCAAATATATTCAACCCTGGCAGAGTTTTCACCTTTTATTGCTTTAAGGTTTGCACTCATGGTACAGTTTGGAAGTAGCAATTAATATTTTGTACAGTATATACACAACTTACTCCACACAATATGGCAGCAGTATGTTATAGTTCTGCTTCTCATCAGCAGCGACTGGACAGAGTGTCAAGACAGATGGGAACACAGAAAGAGCAAAACACTGACAAAACTTAAAGGAAAACCTGCTTCAGACCTGAAAATGGGATGAGAAAAGGCCAAAGCTACATCAGCGTTAAAAATAATGAAGTAATAATAATGAGGCCACAGTCCTGACTTTAATCCTAATGTGACCTTAATGAGAATCTGTGGGAGAACTTGAAAACTAAAGTCCGTAAGCAATCTCCAAATATCTAGAAACTTACCACACCCTTAGACGTATACAGCCTGAGCATTCAAGACTTTAATGAAATATCAATTTTATATTATGGTTAGAATTTAATACAATATTCTAAATTACATCTTTCTAGTGCATTGCACAATTTTAACCAAATGTTATTTAATTTAAATTCTACAATTTAACAATATATCCTTACATTTTGTTTCCATTTTGTTTTGCTTCCCCACATTGTTTAAAAACGTAAATGATGCATCAGCATCAACACCTCAGTCTTTTTTGTACACAGCGTCTTCAAGCGCAGTGATTCCCATTGCGTGTCTATAGTTCATGTTTTTGCTACCTGCATGTAGTACTGTGCCCTTGTTTACATTAAACACCTCCTGCTAGGTGTTTGCCCACCTGTGTTTGTTTCCTTCAAAGTCTGCTGCCGTGTTTGTTTCATTCAAAGATGGGTTTTAGACTCTACCTCTACAGTCTGGAAGTACACTTCAGAGAACGCCACATTATGAACACAGTTCCCTAATAGTTTTCTCACCTCTGTGTGCCTCACTAGGTCATAATTGAAAAGAGAAGGTTTATACCAGCATTTTCCTGTATCAGCCAAGTTTATTTGTAAGCAGTATGAGTAGTTCAGTTCAGTTTATTGTCAGATGCACAAGTGCAATGAAATGCGTATTTGCATGTGTGCGCCAATACGAAGAATACAAAGCCATTAAGGAAACACCAAACACCACAAACATAAACACAGAACAGCAGCAGCAACGACAAGGTAAATAACATACATCTTGGAAAAAAACACCAGTGTGAGCCAGTGATAGGGGCAGAGTGCAGTAATCTGGCAGTTTGTGGGAAGAAACCGTCTCTGAATTCGGAAGTTCGTGCCGTTACGCTCCTATAGCGCTCACCAGAGGGAAGGGGGAAGAAAAGTGAGAAACCAGGATGACTGGTGTCCTTAGCGATACGTCCAGTCTTCCCGAGGCAGCGAGTTGTAAAAAATATCTGAAATAGAGGGGAGCTGTACCCCAGCGATGGACTGGGCTGACCTGATCACTCCCCGTAACACCTTCCGGTCAGACAACGCATCCAATGAAACGTACTTGTATAGAGCTACACATTCTATTGTAAAAATCAGAATTAAGGTGCTTTATCAAAGTTACAACAACCTCCCAGTGCCCCAGCCATTCCTCCACAGCACCATAATAATTTGAGGAAAGTACCTTGTTCAAGGGGGCAACAGCAACACCCCATGTGACCCAGAGCCCTAACCACTGCCTTCAATTAGCCTGCCATCTTGCTGCACAGCGAACAGGAGACCCTGCTACACACACACTCCCTCAGTTTGATGAGGTCAGGTTTGACAGCAGCAGCTGTACAGGTTTTCATGCAAAAACCAACCCTACATACTGTCGGCCCTAACCCTAAACCACTCCTACTCACTGTCAACCAGATACAACGGCTACAACTGAAACTGTACAAACGTTACACGATCACTGCAAAATACAGAAAAATTCTTACATTCCTTGCGTTTTGAAGTGGCAGAAAAGCTTTACTTTAACCATAAGTCAAGAATGGAGCCCTTACCTCAATCAGCCAAGGCTTGAGTTTATCATCAATGATGATGTCATAACCGTAACACTCAAAGCAGTGCTTGTCATTGTTCATTACAGGCTGCAGAGGACAAGAGGTAATAAGAACAGGTTATAATCTAGAGGCACATAATAATATCTTAATTATTGAAGATACAGAGCCTTCAAAATGAATATTCTACTGTGAATGCCCAGGATAACAACATAAGACAAGAACACTGCATGTAAGGATTTTTTAGTTATTATTTGGAAGAAGTTTTTTTTTTTAACTTTGACTTGTACTTTATTCACATTCGCAAAATATCAAACGCAGAACACAACTTTTAATTGAGCCAATTCCTTAAAAACTGCCTGTGAGATATTCAACAATAGCATAACATGTCATCCCCAAAGGCAATATAATTTGCATGAATAATTTAGACACCCCATACAATTCCTCCCTATTGTATTTTAAATGCCTTTGTACATTCAGATGGATGGTGTACACTACCAAGAAAAGCATTTTGACTCCCCCAAATATCGAAATGTCATAGTATTTCCCATAATAGCCTTCTTGAATTATGTAAATATCAAATAGAGTATACTGTAACCAATACCATGTCTCTTTAAATGAACCGATGTATGAATTAAACAAAAAATGAGTAATTAAGGTACAGGGGGAGTGAAAAAGTAAGTGAACCCCTGTTTCATTTAAGTAATTAGAATGTTTAAATAATGAGGTAGATCTTGGAGGTTGAATATGGAGGCCCCACCTTGTATAAAAATAAAAAATGAATTTCATCTTCACCATACAGGTGTGTGGTATCAAGTCTCATGCTGTGATCTGAGGAAAGGTCTGAAGACCTCAGAAAAAGAGCTAATGACATTCAAAATTCAGTTTTACAATGGCCTGCTCAAAGTCCAGACTTAACCCCATCGAGAGGTTGTAAGCAGGACCCGAAGCAAGCAAGGCAGCCCTCAAATGGCACAGACTAGAAGGAGCTCTTTCAGGAGCAACAGGCCAAAATTCCTTAAAACCCGAACGGTGACAGGAGACATTTAGTCATTGCTGCTCAAGGGAGTAACACATGGATACTGACTGTTGCATCACTCGGGGATAAATGTTAAGAGATTACTATGCTGTGCGTCATTTATTTCGTCATGTTAACTATATCAATTACTAGGACTTATGTTAATACCTCATAACATTTTGGTTTTCAAACATGCGAAATATGTGAAAATCCTAAGGGGTTCACAGCACAGTATGTCTGGTTAAGGTAGGGTAGAGTCAGTTACTCCCGGGCAGGTAAAGAAGTTTGATAAGCACTAACCTTGAATGAAAGAGACTAACAGGAAAATGTGTGCTTACCGCTATAGCCTTGAGCGACTGCATCATTATCCAGTGGATATCATCAAACAGCTTGTCGGTCACCTCCTTACCACGGGTGCTCTCCAGGTAAAGTCGCAAGTTACTGACCGTCCACTTCCCACCGTGAATGTGATTGTAATCGTCCTAAGAGGGAGATCTGACATTCAAAAGCAGAACTCCTTGGCCTCAATGGGGGAACATTACAGTACGTTTGGTAAACACTAAAACTCGGCTTTCAAAGGGAAGAATGTGACGCCGACCATCAAGCATGCTCAGGGCCTGGACAGCTTAATCACTGACGCAGCTGTGAGTCCAGCGTTGGATCAGGAGGAGCATCTCGGCCTCAGGCCCGCTCAGGTGAGCGGCAGCCATGAGCCGACACAGCAGAGCTGAGGTGGTCTGCTGCCCTACAGTGACCACTGGTGTCATGAGGTGTGAAAGACAAAGCAGTGCTCAATTCCGAGCTCCCCCGTGTCTGCAGCACCCTCCCCCTCCTCTGCGAAGAAGCTCATCGTCACTCCTGACACACCCCTCTCTCTCGTCCTCAACATGTTTCTCCTTCGGCACCTCCCCCAAGCTTCTTATTGAACAACACCTGCAGAGTTCGCCCTTCCTTACCAAACCCACTGTCCTGCCTGGGATACTGGAACTGCCTCCTGCCTGGCACCCCTGCTGACCCATCCAGAGCTGCTTATCTTGTCTTTTCTCACTTTGTTTCTTTTACTCCAGTCCCTCCACTGGTTCCTTACTGCCGTGTGCATCAGATCGAAAACACTACTCCTCACCTCCCTGTCTCAGACAATCTGTTCTTACCTGCCTTCAATCTCGTATCTCTCCCTACACTCCCTCCCACCTTCTCCACTCCTGCTCATTCTCCACTCTTGCTCACTTGTGGGTGAAATACCCACAGAAATCGGAACCTCTCACTATGGGCAGAATGGACAGTACTGCACCCATTCAAGACATCAAACATCTAAAAGGTTGCAAATTAGAGGCCATTCAGCCTGACAACTTCTTTTGGTTCCATATCTTTATAGTCCTATAGTCAGTGTCGAGTCGCATAGTGTCAGTGAAATGTTTAATCTTCATGTTTAGATGTTTCAAGAGCCCTACTTGTCTGTGCAGACACCTGAGACCTCTCAGGACCAAACTGCATGCTTTGTTAACTCTTACAGCACATTATTCTTGACTAATCATATTCACGTTTTAATCTGAAAGTGTAATTCACTTGATGCACTAATTCACTGTAAACATACAAACTGGGTGGCTACATTACTGGACACACGCAACCCGTACATGCTGCTATTTCTATGGTATTTAATACATAATTATTATATATTATATAATATTATACGTATTTGCTTTTGTGTGGCACTTGCTTTACACTGTTGTAGCTGTACTGGCTAGTACCCATAACTAGTGCAAAGCTTTATAAATGCTACTCCTGCTCAACCTGGAGGAGCACAGTCCAGTTTGCCCTCACATACATAACAATATCCTCAGCTACACACACGAGGCAGATTTCTTTATCTGCTCATTTCCTCTTCTCTCCCTGTTGCAACTTACCCCATGTTTCTGTATTGCTACATTCGTGAGGTGCACAAACATATTGTCCAGCTCACTGGTGCTTGGAGTATACTTCACAGTACAGAATCGGCAAAATCCCAGTTTATACCTAAAACGGAAAACAAATTAAATGTATAACTTTCATGGATAAATCTGTTGGTTTTAAAATATCACACTGTCCAATAAATACAGTACCACGTGTAACGCACGGGTTCGAGTCCCCGACAGTGGGGGGCCGACCTGAGGCGGCAGCGGTGAGGGCGCATACCCACGTGAACCCCGAAGCGCTACAACCACGCAGAACTCTTCATGGTCCCACACACATAACGGTAAGGTGGTAAAACAAAATTGATGAGTTTTCAGGGATGTTGTTCAGTTGAGCTAATAAACTGAACAATCGCTGTCTCTGTGTGACTGTTTCTGTGTTCACTTTCGTTAAGACAATGACTGTGCAGGATGTGGGCAAACAAGCTGTACTTGCAGTCATTCGAAACCAGGAGTCAGGAGTCTCCACATCCAGAACTTGAGGCTTCCAGTTCTCTTAAAATCAAGCACAGATTCAGACTTGACAAGAAGCACTGTAGTGGTCAAATTAAGCCTTAACTTACCCTCACAGACATGAAGATTTATAGAATTTAAAATTGTATTTTATTTAATTGACCTAAAAACCCCTCCTGTTAGCAGGACTCAACTTCCAGGATTGGAGACTCTTGGTCTAAAGACAGATCTCTCCTGTGGTTTAACACCAGTGTTTATGTCTCGTCTGGAGGACAGACGAAGGTCTCCCCGAGATGCCAGCAGACACTGGGATCCCATGTTTTCATTAGCGGAACAGGATACAGACAGATTTAAGGTCATCTCCAGCAATCAAGGCAAGGACATTCACCAGATCAAGTCTTCAGACGCCCCCAAAATACTCACACCGCAAAAATCAATAGGAATTCAGGTAAATAAAATTCTCCAGTCAAATTATTTGAGAGTTCTAACTGAACGATTTCATTGAGATATCTGTTATTACTGATAAACCGGTGACAGCATAAAACCAGAGTAGATTAAATTATGAGATTTTTCATAAATTACTGGTTTTTACCAAAGAAAATCTGGTTTCATGTGGGATTTGATGGGAGGAGCAGGGGAGGCTCTGCTGAAAGGCGAGGTGAAGAAGCTATGAACAGCCAGGCTTCAGCCAACCAAGAGCTGGAAACGGGTCAGGATGAGAGACCTGGGCGAGGGTCCATACTGTCCCCTAACTGTGTGGTCAATAAAGAGGCTCTGGAGTGAGCTTGCTGACAGCAAACTGATCACTGTGCATTTAGTGTTGATGATTTTCTATCAGCTGCACAGTAGGCAATATGCACTATCACTAGTTTGTGCTCATCCTGCAACACTATACCGTCTCCAGCCCTGGCCCTGGAGAGCCCCAGTCCAACAGGTTTAAATCATCAGCTCCTAAGGGCCTAGAACGATTTAACTGTGATCAGTTCAGCACGGTGGTGTGTCCAGTCAAGGAAATCAGAGATCATTTGCAATAAACATCCAAAGATCCCTCGCCCCTTTGGGACCAGTGCCCCCTTCACTGGGACGTTGCTGGTTTAACCGACCCATTGCTTGGACACGTGTTTAGTCTTCCTAACTTGTACAGAAGAGCACCATTGCAGTTCTGCAGTTCTGAGTGTTTAGGCACAGACAGTCAAGTCTGCCGCTCCAGGTGGCAGGGGCGAGCATCGCTCCCTCGCAATACTCACATGTAGCACTTCAGGGGGCGGTAGGTGGTCACCAGCACATACAGGCGCAGGTCGAATTTCTTCCCACCGATGAGCAGGGGGTTGTCGATGTAGAGAGAGATGACATACGCCTCCTTGCCACTAGATGGCGCCACAAACCTAAAAGCAGAAAAGGCAGCCGCCTAAGAAGAGAGATCTTCCCCGGCTCACATCCCAGAGATGAGGAGGCCACACCTTCCAGGCACAGCGGGACATATATGGGCACTAGCACGGGCCTTGTCAATATTTATCAACAAACACGGGCAGAGCACCTTAAACCCCCCCCCCGCAGGACTCGCACCCTACTGGGACACGTCACTGCCCTGCAGCGTAACCAAAGTAACCAACGGTAAGGCCCAGGAAACGGTAGTTCAGCGGGTTAATGCCATATCATTCCGAGAACCAAGAGCACAAAATCCCCCCCACCCCTCATGTACAGGTTTCGATCACCCCAGGCAGTCTTGTCTAGAGCGCAGGTCTGCCTGGCTGGCGTCGAGCTGGACTCTGCATCTGTAATTGCAGGCGCTGCACGCATGAGCAGGACTCCTTCCCCTGTTCCGCCACGGCGGTGCTGCGCTGGAGGACAGAGCTGTACTGCCAATCCCCGGCCCCACGCCCATCTCCTCACATCTGACACCATCGGGTTTTTCCCCCTCTCGTGACATGAAAGCATCGTTTATACAGTAAAACCACACGTGGACGGTAGGAATGTAGGCATTGCCCCCAGTGTGTTCCGCTCCACCCACCCCCCCAGAGTTATGGACTGTCACTGCCCCCCTGACCTGGAGCTGCAGCTTCTCCTCCCCACTGTACCCCATATTGAGGGGGTCCCCCTTAATGCTTGCCTGCTTTGCACAGTGTAGAGCATTATGGAGGACTGTACTCCTCCTTCCTCTCCACCTGCCCTCTCTCTCCTTATCTCTCCCTGGCAAATAGCACCTTCCTCTGTAACCAAAAGGGCAATAAACCCTCTGCCTCTGTGAAGCTGCAGACCTGCCTCCTGCCTCTCCACAGAACCACGTTTGGACAGTACGACACCCTCCCCGACAGCAACATCATCCGATAGACATTATTAAAAAACTGACACACAGTTTCTCCTTTCTACTTTTCTGTGTGGAATTAGCCTTTGCTTGCTCCCTTGCAACCAACACACACCAGCACTGAAGCTCTCAGATTAACAAAAGTCTCTTCTCAGTTCAGCAATGCCTGGCAGGAAAGGTGAAGAAGCACTGAAGGAACAGCCCCACGTCTCCACAGTTCTCAGCTAAACCCCAAGTGGAAGATTTTAAAAAAGCTTTCATTTTCAATTAATCAAAGCCAGGAATCTTAGCTCTTATGAATGTTAACAGTAATGAAGCTGCCAGTCTGAACTGAGGTTGGTGTCTAGCTACTTGACAGCAGACATTACCCCCAGCTCCTCTGAAGGTTTCCTAGCTGCGCAGTATTTAGGCTTCCAAAATAGCCTGAGCAATGTCATTCACACCCGAAATTAACTTGCTTGCGAAAGATAAAAAAACGAAAAGGGGATGTTATACACAGGAAAAGGCCTTTAAAAATATCAGTTAAAATATTTTGCTTAACCTCAACCCTTTCCTTCCTGGAATTTGTCAAAAAAAAATAACAGTCCCAAACAAAAACCAGTCCAGCACCACTAACAGGTTGGGTGCCCAGCTGATCAACACATTCTGTTATGTTTCAGTACAGCCTTCTAGTCTACAAACTAGTGTAGATCTTGGATGTACACATAATCAAGCCTAGCTTGACAATATAGCTGCTCAGAGCTTTATGAATCTTGCTGGTTACGCAATAAAATCTGTGGTTCTCAAACCTGTGCCTGTTGGTTGTTGTTCCAGTGCTAACTGATGCCAGTGATTGCTTAGCTGTTTGGTTTAGGCTTTTTTATTGGACTCAAACCTTAGTTTGATAAATGCCTCAAAACAGAGGATCCCAGCCTTGCTCCTGGGTCACCCCTGCGTCTTTCGGTTTTGGTCCAGACAAGTTCTGAATCACAGGCTACTTTATTTCAATTTTCTATTTAAGGAACCCCCAGTTCACGAGCCAGTTTCAGGCCTGCCCTCATACAGGTGTGCTAGGGGAAATACAACGGACTAGACTTGAGCTGAATGAAAAACACATGAAAAAACAGGAACACAGAGCCGGAGATGATGGATACATTGTTATCCCCATCTGTGTCTGTTCATCAACTGATCACATATTAACAGCTGTTGAGTCAGAAATAAGGCAGCAAATTCATAATTAGCAAGCTCAGAAGAGTTTCAAGTAGGGAGCTACGTCAGCATGCACAGGCTACAAAGGAACAAGTAAAGGCTTATTCCCTGCTGAAAAGAGAAGAAAGGAATAAACCTTTACTTGTTCCTTTGTAGCTCAGGAGAGACTGGAAGTTCTGTGCGCTGAAGATGTTGGAAATGTTGGAAAAGATGTTGTTGCACTTTTACTAGGGTATTTGAAATTAAGGACTGAGTACAGAAAAAACTCTAAACCGGTGATCACATCAAGTACAGGCACCGATCAACACTGGTGATGAAAGGCCCAGTCAGAGCGAAAACCAGCAGATGCGGGGCTAAACCAGGATTTGGATTGAGAACCACTGCACTGCATAATCAGGAAGATGGCTGCAGCGAAACTGTGGAACGGAATGGATTGGAAACTTAACTTAATTAAGCTCATTAGCCCAGCAGTAGACAAAACACCTTTAGTTTTTAGTTTTGATTTACGTGAGGCACTGCAAAAGCCTGTTTGAGT